AGCGCGATGTAAAGACGGAACCGTTCCGTTCCGTCCCGGCACAGTCTACAATTCAGGCGGCGCGTAGCGGTCGGCGCCGGCTGCCGAGTCGCCGCGTCGCTGCGGCGACAGGATGTTCACTTTACACCGCTATTACTAGAACAGTTGTGAACCGATTTTCTTATTGCTTGCACGATGAGATGTCCAATTCAATTCTTGACAGGTAGCCATAATTAATTTCGCATTAATCTTATGAGATATTGGCGAAAAACAGGAGGGGTGGGCGAAATTCGCTCTTCCCCCTCCACTGCGCGTGCTAACATACGTTTGCATATGTGCAATTTTCTTCAAAACTTATGTATGGCCCACTCTAATTTTTTCACAGGTTGTTAAGAATATGGTAGGCAATAAAATATATGAAAATGAGCCAAATCGAAGGCGACGTGTTTTTTGCTATTTCATTATTTGTGCTTAAGAACAGAGTTAAGCAAATTTCAAAGTCATATATTTAAGTACGTGCAATTCTAAACAAATGCTTAAGAAATTACCTAAACAGTAAAGTTTATTTCATTCAAATCAAACAAGTACAACCAAAGTTATGGTCGTTCAAAAATATAAAGATGCAACATTTTGTAAAAATTTGATGCCCTATATTTAGAAGACCTGTGGTCAGAATGTGCAAAAAACATATATGTAATGTCCGGGGCCACACAGGAACTCGCTCACAAATTTATAATGAAATCGCTGATGGTAAGGTGCAAAACAGCCGATTTTTGTTCGATTTGACGTGGAATGCCCCAGCAGTGGTGGCGGGGCGGACGGTGCACGGTTACCACATGGCCGGACCGGTACCTGTACCCCCCCCCCCCGCCCCGCGCGGTCGCCCCGCCCTCCCGGTGACCCGCGTGTTACTCCACAGCCGCCGGCCCCGGTCCGCCCGGACTTACGACATTTGGATGCAATACAGCAATGGCAAGACCGGACGCCCTTCAACGAGTGGACTGGGCCGGGCGACTGAAATACGTGGAGCGGAGCTCAAAAGACCGCGGTAGCTACTTCAGAACAAATGTGTATCGGATGGAAAACATATCGATTCGAGACACAAGACATTGTGATGGAGAGCATTAGCTTAATTGCGCGTCTCCACACGTCCACCAAATAATGATAGCAAAAGAAAAAAAAAACTTCCGAATGTCGTGCCGCATTTCATGTCTCTTCCATGCGGCCCCTATCCCGAATAGCCATCCCAGACCTCCATTGTCATATACAAAAAATATGTGCGTAAAATCTGTATAAAGAGCTTAAAGGGACTATCCCACCTTTAACATGGGGTTTGAGTTGAGATAGCCAAGTTTGCGGCGAGGTTCAGAAACCACTATCTATCTAGGTTGCAACCCCCGCGGCCTCCTGGTGTTGAAGAAATTCGTTCCCTCCATTTGAAAATGGGCCTTGTACAAGGCCCTATCTTCAACATGGAGCGACCGTTAGTGTGACGTCACCTCGTTTAGTCATTCTGATTTAAATGGGTTTGTTCGTTGAAAAATCGCTTAAAACTTGGTCTGAACTTTGTTGTGGTGCCTACAGAGTAAAAAGAATCAGCTTTATGACAGTAATGTGACCTGGGGAAGGAGGTAATTTTGGGCTGTGACGTCACATATTTGAAAGTTTGTGTTTGGAATATGGGAAGCCTAAGATGTTTAATGAAAAATAAATGCCAGAACCGTGTTCCTGGTCATCCAATCTATAAAGTCGGGCACAATTTAACTGGTTTTAATAACATTTTAGAAGGTGGGATAGTCCCTTTAATCAGTTGCAGGACAGTGTAGCAGGATAGCAAAACGGTTCTGTTATAGTTGAAGACTGGCGAGCCCCATGTGTGCCGAGAGTATTCGTGACACCTGCTCAATGACGACACCGTTTGGTTCGTGAGTCGATGTCGACGTCCACTGTTTTGCCCAGTCATCTTGACCTTGCCCTCGTCACACACTGCTCAGTTTGGCAACTTTACCTTTGGAGGCGTGGATTACGTCTGAGTGTTGCCATAACAGCGACATCCTCAATACGGCGCTGAGGAGGGCAGATCGTACCTTATTTGTACCATTATTACTTTTTAAAGGTAGTGTGCCACCTTCCAATGATTTCCCATTTTATTTTTCCTAGGATAAGAAGCTTCTGTTTTTACCTAATATCGCAAAAAAAAAATCAAAAATGGGCCTGGAATAGTGCCTTTTTTGCCTAAAAGTTTATCGGTTTTTCGATATGTATAACAACTGTAGTGGGCTGACCTGCAAACAGGCGTCGGCAACAATCGCGAATGCGGCGCACATGTGACAATAAGCAAAGGTCATTATAGGGTTACGACGTACGGGAATGAGTTATCAGCTGTCTAGTCGTAGACAGCACAATGTCGAACTTAAACTGTAAGCCTGTATTGGTATTGTTTCTTTAATTTGGCTGTTGAACATTAATTTATGGTTTGAAATATGATTTTATGTAAAATAATTTATATGAAACAGCCGTCTTTTAAGTTATGACCCCATTTCACCACACGCAAGTGGCAGAAATGACAATGATCAGCTGACGCATTTTTCTTGGCCGAAGTCAGAGCGCGCGGCCCGACGCACCACGCGTATTTGGAAATTCCGACCTCAACGAGCATCAGAAGCCACCTAACAGGCGTGTTCGAAACCGCAGGAGATGATGATGAACGGGTTTATCGAAACTTGATTGGATGAGCCTATCGGTAATAGCGATTTTAGTGTGTGGATTTATTGTTCATAGTGGTGTGAAATGTGGTTGGGGTACGACCGACAACCCGTCGGGGCGAATTTCGCACTGGGGTACTCAAAATTTGAAGAATTTAAGACGTTTGCATGAGTTTTGAAGGTATGGATAAGTTCTAAAAATCCGGTTCTCCTTATCCGGGTCATTAACTCCATATGGTCCAAGAAAGCTGGCACACTACCTTTAATGACAGTAAAACGGTTATGCTCTAGAATTTAAACACATTTGCAATCACTATTTACATACTTACCGGCTATAGGTTTTGAATTATGTGAAGCCTTATCAATACCTGCAATTTGTTACTAAGACCAATACCTACTAAGGTGGTGGTCATTCAACTCTAACCATGCCAAATCAGCACAATCGTGGCTGAATTGATGGCTGATGCAGGCCCGGACTATGTAGAATCATGTAATGCGTGCAATAATAAGTTTCGTTAGGTACATCGGTTATCGTAAAAGCAAACGAAAGTAGAAACGCTCAATAATTATTTTTCAATGCATACCTAATGCATAAATAAATAATAATGTACGTAATAATGTACATAAATGATTAACTCGTTACTTAAGTAAACACAAACACTAAACAGCCGAAGAGTTGCTAACCACGGTATACCATCGCTCTACGGGAGGGTAGCGCGAGGACTGGTAGGAAGGGTAGTGGGGACTGCGGGTCGGATGGATCCCTTGTTTTTTCTCATTAACGTGCGTAGAAAGCGGCGGATTGCGACAATGCTTTGTTCTCGTGTTCATCAATGTTACACCCCACCTGAACATTTCATGAACTTGGCTCAAACCACCATTGGCATGTGACCCCTTTCTCGACACTACATCAGTCCATAATGGTGATTTGACGTGACAGTGCGCATTATATTTGTACGTCTCCAGTTTTTTTTTTGTGTGTGTGATTAAAAACGTGCCAACATGTGAGATGATGTTTTCCCGTGAGTTTAGTGGGTTCCAAGTTCACGTGAAGGTCAGTTCGAGGTCACTGACCTCTGGCAACAGCGGTCGACTTTTCTAAGTTTACGGCTCGTGGTAGCTTTTGTACGTTATTTCGAATCTAGCGTACGTTTCGGGGTTTTGGAACTAGTTTTTGAGCCCATGTCACATTTTGCGAATCTGTTAGTGGTGGTAAACACCAGCTAAGATTATACAACGGGACACCTAAAAGCTTATCTGATCTTACCTGACATCACCCACCCTAAATTCAAAAATACATCATTGCTGAACAAAATGAAGGTCAACATCAGAAATAGGATCTAACAATCTGATATTATAAGTGCATGCGCGAGGATGGATTCTCAAAGTTGACTGTTCCCTTAGATTACTCTAAATCCTGTATTTGTATAGGTATGAAATCTGTACAAGCCTAGCCATGCACTTGAACTCAGACTGCAATCAGAGAAGCTGCTCGGCTAGCTCTGCTCAGAGGCTAGTACTGCGTCTCTTCTATCCGTTATGTAACTCTGGCAATCCTCTGTGGAATGCTGAGACGGTTGACCGTTGAGGCAGCCTGCAGGCGGGCTCATGTTTCCAGGATTTTAGCCCGAGATGGGGCCAGCCGCGGATCTAACTACTGAGCTCAACTTCGAAACTTCACAAACTGCCGGGGATTATTGTTTTATCCACAGTCATCAGTTGTGAACACGTTCTGAATGGTCGGCAGTACGTATGCGTGATGTGGATTTCGCTGCACGTCAGATGCCAGGCCCCGCGTCCTTGGTCAGATACAGGAATATCGTGCGGAAACCAGCGGTCTATCCCAAAGATCCGGTACTTTCAACCTTGGGAGGAGATTTGGCAGCACAAAGCCCGTCCGCAAGGTGGTGATTTTCTGTCCCACACCACTGGACTTCCCTTTGAATGAGGCCACTCCATCAGTTTATGAAATATTAGTTGAGTTGCGGTTGATTGGGGTTCGCTTCGCTTGTTTCCAGCTTATCGTAAAATCGTTGCCGATATTGACCAATGGGCATTACATTTTTATCAAATTATTTGCCTAAAAATACTATATCATTTATATCTATCCTAACTGCAAGCGCAGCAACATATAAGACCTGAAAAACGTATTATCTGTCGCGTATTGAAGCAGGCTGTTCCAGGCCGCAAGCGCACTGATCCATGGACCCACGGGCCACGCCACGGCTGCCCTGGCTGTCCCTCGGGTGTATCCCAAGGTCCGGTAGGAGCCCCCATGTTTTCAGCCATTGACGGCCGTTGTCTCGCTGTTTGCAGATCATGTGCACCCCCAAGACATCGTGCGCGCTCGCACGGACGACCTCTGGTGCAAGAGGTTCATGGCGCACGGCGACCTGGAGATCGACAAGGCCTTCGACTTCATGATGGACTCGGTGAAATTCCGCCACGAGTGGCAAGTCAACGGTGAGTTTTGGGTAAATTATTGGGACATGGGCTAGATAAAATCCTAAATTGGCGTAATTACTCGGATGTCTAATTAATTGGTAGGATGTGCGTTGTGCGGTGTGCACTGCGCTCTTATAAGCGCAATTATAAACGGTGAAGCAGTGTGGTCAACGCTTGTAGTTGTAAAAGGCACAGCACACATAAATCTCGATCACAAACGAAACAATGTCCGAGTCAACGTTGTTTCTATCTCACGAAGAAACGGGTTTTCTGAGCAGCAAGATTTTACAGGAAGGAATTTATATTTTAACAGCAAGACAACATAAATCCAATGTTAAAATTATTCAGGCAGTTTATAAAGTTGGTTTAGATAGCTATAAAAATGACAAACAGACTGCTTGGAAGAAAATTCATTTTCTACACCAGCGACACGCAGGCATTCTGCAGTTGCACGGGTAGCTCTCGGCTGAGGTTATGCCTGCTGGTGCGCCTGATGCCAGTCTACGTCGCACGCCGCGCCGCGTACCGCGCAGAGGTGTGCTCTATCCGTGACGCGGATCAGCACCTCCCCGCTCCGTGGCACGTTTTGAGCCGGGGGAGGGGCTGCTGGTGGCTGGGTGGCGTGACTTTTTGGGAATTCCTTCACCCCGGAGCAGTCACGGACTCGTCAGCATCGCGCACAACTGACGAATGATGACTTTGACTGAAAGTTAAACGCAATTCGAAACGAGCGCTTGACTTGCGAACCGATGACCTCTGCAGGTCCGGGCATCCACAACCAAATCATCATTATCGTCCTCAGTTAAGATATTCTGAAGATTTGTCACATTTGATGACTTATGAACTCTTTAAAAGCTATCTTAAATGAATTTGCTTTTCGTAAATTGTTGAACACTAATTACGGAGCGAGCGAAGCGAGCGTAGTCTTTCCTTAGATTAACGGAAATTTCTGAGTATGAGCGGCCGGCCGGCCGGCCGGCCGGCCGTGGTCACGCTTTTGCGAGGCTTATATCTCAGCAACCACTTGACCGATTTACATGCGGTAATTTTTGTAGGGTAGCTTCATTCCTTCTTCCAAGTATTGGACTATTCCCGATGCATGTGGGTGACCCCTTATGCACGTGCCACGTGCAAAACGAAGAGGTGTCCGTTTTGTAATTGTTGCAATATCTCGGTAACTACTTGGCCGATTGCGCTGAAAGTTGGCATGTAGGTAGGCACCCACTAGGCACTGCATATCCATGTGCCAGAGTTGGGGCGCTGCTGCACGTGCGCACGTGCAGGGGTCGATTCCAGATCTCGAGAACGGCTGGACCGATGGCGCTCAAATTTGGCACATGGTTAGGGACCGGTTAGTAGGGTGCCGTGCAAAAGTCAGTTGGGCCCCATTTTGCACGTGCGCACGTGCAGGGTGCCGCTTCCAGATCTCGAGAACGGCTGGGCCGATTGTGCTCAAATTTGGCACATCGCTAGAGACCGGTTAGTAGGGTGCCGTGCACAAGTCAGTTGGAGGTACCCCCTCGCAATTTCGCACGTGCAAGGCCCACCCTCTCGCTCGCTCCGTTAGTCGCCCCAAAAGGCGTTATACTGGTGTTACTGATATTGGTTAATAGAGCACACATACTCAGTCCTAATTGTTCCTTGTCTTGGATTGTGTTAAATAAAGTTTTTTTTGTGACATTACATATAGCATGACAATGGAAGGAGTTGCCCAGCTCGCATTACTACGTAAGTGTCGATTGATATGACTGACGGACCTCAATATAATACATATGTCGAGAATCTGGCGTCATCGAGCGATATGTTATCGACTAATGAATATTTAGGTAATTGCGAAAACTGTATCGATGATGTTATGTTTAGGTGCTTATTCCTCGCTAGATTCGGACCTTCACCATTTATTTTGTGCAATGTTTGCTATGACCATTTCTTATTAACTTATGTTTATAAATAAAAAAGTCACTATGTCTCGCTTTTCCTCAACGTTTTAACGCCTGTTTCTCAATCATTACTAACTTATCTGGCATGTCGTCAGTAACTAACTCCAAGCGCGTGACTGTTCTCCGACAGAGCTGACTCACGACTCGGTGGTGACCGAGTTCTTTGAGCGGGGCACGCTCAGCGTGCACGGCCGCGACCGGGACGGCGCCGCTCTGATGATCTTCCACTCCTGTCTGCACGAGAGGACCCACGGCGAGCGCTTCGAGCGCGTCAAACAGTTTCTCGTCTACTGGGTGGAGAAGATCGAAAGGTGAGTCCGTGCAATGAATGGAATGGGTTAGTTGGTCGTCTACAGGGTAGAAAAGATCGAGTGGTGACTCAGCCATGAATGGAGTGAAGTATGGACATTACTAATTGCAATGAATTGCCTTGCCTATACCTGTAGGTCTAGGCAACTAATTCCATTGAGGACCAAAAACTTATTACTAAAAATAACCATGTTTATGATTGCGCAAGACAAAAATAATAGTGCTTCCTCCAACTGACGCACATATCAGACGTGCTTCAGAGACGTGGTGTGCGATCAGCAACAGGCAGCATGAGTCATATCATTCACGTGGGGCAGATGCTATCATCGTGTTACCCATCGCGAGCTAGCAGCCTACGCTGCGTCGAGCTCCCCGCTCTACGGATACCCTGCAGTGGGGCGGGGGGGGGGGGGGGCGGACCATCGTCCGGTCCCCAGCACCGCTATTGTGGAGCCCCAAACCAGCTTTGTCGGACCGTACGCGACTCACCGAGCTGCTCCTCGGTGACGTCATCACGCTGCGGTTGCGCCAGCGTCCGTCCGAGTCCGCCCGACCGCCGCGGGCGACCAGTGACGAGCGCCGAACAGGGTCAAGGTCAGGCGCGCGGCGGTCACACACCTCTGGGACGCGCCGCCGTCGGGAGCGGGCACGGCTCGCCGGATTTGAACGGCTGGGAGCTGACACTTGCAGGACTGTGAACTCAAGCCGGAGGCAGTCACCGTCTCGAGTGAATGCCTCCATTCGATAAATAAATGTCATAAGAATATAAGTAGCTGCGACTCTGTATTCTGGTGCGGTGTTTCCATGGCCAGTATAATCCTGTAGATAATTTGCAATGCACTGGTAGAACTATAAATGTAAATATATGCTTCTCACCGCTGCTGCGCCTCTCAGTATGATCCTATCAACTGATCGGCATCATTCCTCAGCTTTCGCTGGGACGGCCGCCATGTGCGGACGGTTGTGGCACTGTGGCGTTACAACATTACCGAGGCGACGCGGCCGAAGTCGCTCGCCGCCGGCGGCCGCGCGGGTTCACAGCTGAGTAGACCGGGGTGCGGGACAGCTGCTGTCGCCGCACAGCCGTCCCTCTGACCGCGTTAATTTCTCCCCTGCACGTGTTCCGGTATAACCACACACGGCGAGCTGCGGTAGGGGCGTCCGGCCGCCGGGGCGACACTGAACTCTCGACCTTGTGGCGGCGGGTGAGAGTGGTCGCGGAGGTCAGCAGTTTGGTAATGACCGGGCCGGTCGGAGCGCCGCCGGGCCATGACGGTCGGCGCCCCGCTGTCCAGTGTCCACAGTTATTACTCAGCTGCCCCGCTGTCCGCTGTTTGTCCTTCGCTGCCCCGCTGTCTTGGTGCCCCGCTGCCCGCTATCCGCTGTCCTGTTATGCCTCGATGCCCGCTGGCCGCTGTTCCGTTGTACTTCGCTGTATTTGTATTGTATTCGTATTTGTATTTACATTTAAGAGCGATCCATATACAAAGTGCGTTGCGATTACTGCTCAGATTACTGCTCTCGCTGTTCTGCTGTCTCGTTGCCCCGCTGTCCCGATTTACCCCAACTACCCCCTGTTCCGTTGTCCCGCTATCCCATTGCCCCAGTGACCCGCTGTCCCACTGCCCCGCCGTCCCACCACCCCGCTGTCCCACTGCCCCGCTATCCCAATAATCCATCGTCTCCACTCTGCTGTTCGATTGTTGTCACTGTCAGTAACTCCAACCCAATGTGCCCCAAGATATTGCATCTGTTATTTAGCTAATTAATTAGGTCGATCTTTCGTATGCCTACCCTGCAAACCTCATGCTTAAAAGTCAACAAGTTATTAAAAATGTCTTACTTTGCAACTATCCTACGCCTCACACATCATGCGAAATAGCCAAAGCAGATCGCCTCCTGCTTGAGAGACTGTCTCTATGTCGACACATATATCAGTCTCCGTCCACGGCACAGCTATTTGCAGCAGACTGCAGACAGCAGAGCCCTGCAACATGCTCGTAGAATGGCTGCACAAAGCGCTGTTACTTTTGTGAAAACGTGAGACTTCAGTAGACTATAGACAGGGCTTGAAATCAGGTTATGGCTATCGTGACTTTTCAAATGTTGTGCGAATATGCCCATTGGTTATACTCGTGTTATGTGTTAAAAAATAATTATTGCGTCAGAGATATGCAAAAAAAAACTGTAAGAAAACATCAAACATGCTGAATATGCCTCTTGACAGTCAATCGCAACCTACAGCGAAACATCTAAGCAAGTAGTCCATAATGGTGCCTAAGAAAGCGCTTCCATCCTGCTCTGTAATGTTGGCAATGATATGGTGCAATGCAAACACCGGCACCTCGCTAGTCCCGTATTGATCCAGAAAGTGAGGGCATCACAAAGCAGGACGTCCTGTGCTATTATGCAATAATGCATGCGATGCTGCGAGCCACTGTTCAAAATAGCCGACAAACACTGGCGTAAAACTGTATCAACAGTGACAGTGATGTCAGTCTGACTTTTCAAGTCACTTTCAACGCCTTCGGCACAGGGCTGCTCAAACGCGAACTACCGTACGAATCCGGCCATAGGCTTATGTACTAGGTTCTTGAATCAAAGTCACTTCAGTTCACATAGTTGCCGGTTGTGTAAAGTCCAATCCCATCTGTATTCTCTCACCAGCCGCTGCACAACATATGCATGCTGGGTTCGTCAAGGCATCTATGCCTTATCTATGCATAGATAAGATCCTAAGCGTTATGACCATGGCATATGACGTCACTATGACGTGGCCCAAGAGATGGCGCTGCGCTAGATGGTCGGGCGACTCGTGTGATGCACTTGGGGAATGCGCAGCCCCACCGGCTGAGTCACCGTTTGAGCCCCACCGTGAGCTGCTGTCTGATCGGTATCGGTAAGCAACACCGTCGTCTTGCTATGAACCATCGTCATAAGCTGCGACATCTGAGCCGGCAGTGTCGGCGGCCTGAGCTGCATTTCTCTGAGACGAATCGTCTGAGCCACACCGTGAGCCACCATTTGAGCCCCACAGTGAGCTACCGTCTAAGCCAAGCTGTTTGAGCCACGCATTGAACCGCCGTCTGAAGTTGAACCACTGTCTGAACCACCGCCTGGGCTAGCGTCTGAGCCGTGCCGTCCAGACCGTATGCCGTGAGCCGTCGTCAAAGCCGCCCAAACAGACGGTCACATTCGCTGCGAAACTGCTGACCAAAATGGCCGCTGTCATGGACCTATAATTCTGACGTGTTTTTCTCTGATCCGTGCCCGCCCAGAAGTTATGCTCGGTACCATGCGGTGTCTGTATAGCTTGAACATTATAATTCTTAGGAAAATAAACAGCGCAATTGAGACCCTGTTTCCGGATGCGAAACATTTGTCTATGTTTACCTATATTGTTTCGTTTTTATGCGGTTTCGTAGTTTGTTTCGTTTCGTAGTGCTCATACCGCTTATATCTGCCAACAAAGCAGAAGTCTGCCCATGTCCGCAATTCCACCTTGCCAGGGATCAAAGTTCATTGTACACGCCCCTCAGCATGATTGTCCCATAAGACCTATCCACTACCACTACGTCCAAAATCCAGTATCTAGCCGGCACTCAATTGTGTTTGATATTTATCCAAAAGGACCGCAGATAATACATATAACGGACCGCAACGGTATCCAGTCCAAGGCCCTATAGGGGAAGATGGGGGAACACCGCCCTTTGGGGAACACCGCCCACCCCGATATCAGAAATATAAAAAGGTCTAGGGCGACAGCTGACTGTCTTTTGGCAGCGTCACGTCAACAGAAGTGCAGGTATGGGCAGTGTACCGCATTGGTTTAGGTGATTTGCGAGAAATTCCTAATTTTACGTTTCGTTAATACGCTTTATACTTTTTTTCTAGCAAAATAAGCAGAAGAAAACTTATATTATTTGACAGATATTAGTCCTGAAGTAGTATTTTTTTGCCATAATTAGGACTGATCCAAGCATTACGTGCTCCTGCTCGAGCGAAATTTTTGTCGTGCTGCCATATTGAAGGATTTTTTAGAAAAATGGAGACACTTGGGTAACACCGCCCACTTGGGCAATTTGATGTTTAATAGCACATTGTGACACCAAACCCAAGAGTGGCGCATTTCAAATAAAGAAAGAACGTTGTTGCTATGTCTTCTTTTTAGTGGATAATGCAAAATTTCGAAAAAATTAAATTTTGAGACTTTAAGTCGTCTAGTTATATAAATGAGTACTACATTGTACAGAGAAATAATAAAATCGTTCCCACTGCAATTTATAGATATACTAAAATGCCTCGAAATTTACGATAAGAAGAACAAATTAATAGTCCAGTAACCTGCAAAGTTCGTTGCCTGCTGAGCCCGGGCGGTGTTACCCAACGGTCGGTGTTACCCCGAAAAATGTAGACATTTACTAAATGTGGAATAATGCAATTATGGACGACACTACAAGAAAACAACTGGCTGATATGTATGTAAAATTGATGCGACAATCCATTGAAACTGAGAGATTGATGATTTTGCCAAAAAATACGTGACTAGACCCTAAAAGGTTAAGGGGTCGGTGTTCCCCCATCTTCCCCTATACTATCCAGTCGTTTCCGAGTTTGAATTAATCATTAACTGCGTGTGATTTCTCCCGTATTCGCAGAGAGGAGCGTGGCCAGAGGATCTCGCTCATCCTCGACATGGGTAACGCCGGTTTGTCGAACGTGGACATCCCGTTCATCGGCTTCCTGATCAACCTGTTCAAGCTCTACTACCCGGACATGCTGAACTCCATCATTGTGTTCGAGATGCCGTGGATCATGAACGGTGGGTGGCCGCCCACCGGTGTCCTCTGATGGAGAGTGGTCATTGGTGGGCTTTAGGCTTACATTTCCTCAATAGACCACTGATGACTTATCTTGAACGAAGGTCTGTCCCACAGCCCCTTCGTGGTGCAAAAGCGCACCTTAATTAATCCTCTGTATTTTGTCGACCTTGCAGGAGAATTATCAAAAATTACATCCCAGAATAACGTCTTCACGGAAGACGACAGCACTAATCTCTCCAGACCTTGGCGCGCTGCTGTCAGAGATCTTTTTGATGACTGTACAATCACGATTATTTTCTCAGAAACCGGAAATGAGCTCGTCGGACATTGTGGACTTACATAATGTCTTTGTGCGGAATTCAATCCGGAAAACCCACCCAGTATTACATAATTATGCGGGTGTCTTTTCTTTATTTATGTAATATAGTTATGTATTACAAGTTACGTACCTATACAAATTTATGATTTTTTCCCCTTTCGGTAGCATTAGTGATTACGAGTTTCAATACTGTTCTAGAAACACGAAAATTTCGCTAGCGTTTGGACAACTGAGTCGCTTTACTTTTGTCAGCTTCTATGAAGCAATGTGCTGAGATTGCTGTTCCCTGCATATTCTCGTGTGATTTTAGCACACCAGCCAGGGTTAAACTACGCAATTGGAAAGTGGAAGGACAGGTTATGTGTCTACTGTGTACGTAACCTTTGCACGGCCTCTGACCAGACTATCTCCACATCTTACCTCTGTGCAAAGCTATGATTGCTATAGTACTACCACAACTCACTGTAGGTGCATCACTGCAGATACTGTGTATTTTCCCTGAAATACCCGATGTGCTGACGTGGGACTCGTTCGGCAGCGGCGTGGAAAATCATCAAACAGATGCTGCCGCCCAAGTCGCACCAGCTCATCAAGTTCGTCAATAAGAAGGACATCGGAACGGTGATCCCTCCGGAGCACACGCTGGTCCGGTGGGGTGGCAAGGACCCCTGGTCCTACACCTACCGGCAGGAGGACTGCGAGATGCCGCCGTCTCCCTTCCTCGGCCAGCAGGTCAGTGTACAGAAAGACCTCATCTGAAAGGAGTAGATTTCTGACGAGCTTTTTCTTCAATCCGAATTTTAATGGCGCTACCATGACGTTTTGTTTCTTCCTGGCTGGTGCCTATACAACGTCAGTGAGATATGGAAACTTTAATGCCGCACTATCATAAATGTGTCCGTTTCTCGCCGCTCGTCAGGAGAGCCCCGGGAGCGGGGACACGGACACCGTCTCGGCGGACAGTGGCTCCTCCCGGGAGCAGCCCTCCCCTCCGCCGGGCGCAGGGGGCGCTGACGACGGTCGCCAGGGGTCGCGCGGCGCGGAGCAGGCCTCCGACCAGCCCCCGGAGGCGCCGGTGCGCCGGCGGACGGCCGGCCGGCGCGCCACCCCTCCGCCGTCGGGCACGCAGCGGGCGCCGCTCAGCCACAGCAGCCTGCTGCACTACCGCAGCGTGGTGGATATCGCCGGCAGCGCGGCCGAGCGCCGGGCCAAGGTAACCAGCGGCGCCGAGGAGCGGGACGGGCAGGTGCCGCCCGCGCCCGCCTGAGCGGGGTGGCCAGGTGCACCTACTCTGCCGAGATAAGCAGAACGGGAGGGATGGCAGGGGTGCCTACCTACTGCGACTGTCCCTAACTGTCCTACCTCACCAGACGTGGACCAAACTGCCGCTGGACACTCGATAATACTAGACCACTCCGCTTCGCTCTCTTGAATAGTTATTCTGGGAAACTTTATAGGGCTGGTTTGTCAGTTTTTCCATCATATTGTGTGTGACACAAGGCTATCAAATGTTTTTGCCTTCAGATGTTTTCTTGTTTGTGTTTAGGTAGCTCACTTGCACTTGCGTTATACGGGTATATTACCTATATGCTTCATCAAATGCTTTTCGAATTATGTTAGGGAACTGTCATCTTAATCATGCATTGTATCATGGAACTGCAAGCTACCCATGATTTTTTGCTTTTGATACCGTCTTCTCCGAACTTGAATGTACTTGAACTGTTTTTGTTGTCTGAAATATAAATGGCATTATCAGCTTGTGAGCAGTATTTTGCCTTTTTGGTGCATCTAATTGATCCCGAATCAAAGACAGACCGAGAACCACATTTAGGGCGCATGGAGCAGTAGTAAACACCGATCGTCATCTTGTGCCACCAGCAGGATTTGTCGGATGATAGCGGCGCATCCTGCGACGAGACTTCGGACCAGTCGCTGCCGGGCGGCGAGGACACTACAGCGGAAATCGGTGCGTTCGCACCCCGAATCGGTTAGCGGTATACTAGTGGCTTGGTGAACGGTGAACGCATGATGGTGTGGGCGAGGAAACATAACGCTGGTTTAGGGGTGAGCCAATGGTGATGGTGGCCCCGGGTGACGGGGTTTCGTGGATAAATAAAATTGCATGACATGTTTTTAATCGCGAGGGTTTGGGAAGACACATGTTTACCACATTGATGTCTTACATTGCTGAATTATGTGGATGCTTGTAACAAGATAGCGCCACTGCTCAACCATCACGGGCGTCGCATCTATGCTGCACTTCGCCTATATAGCTTCAATAAAACATCGGCAAGCACGGCTGGGAGAGCATGCTTGAAGACGTTTTGTCAAACATTAGCGTTCCTACACTAATGGTCCCGGCGGCACCAGACATGCTCGCAGTACCTAGGCATTCGGAGAATTAGAAAACACGAATGTGTAGCGTTTTGTTGCAAGGCTACCTTCCTGAGACACTCGCTTATCAATCCACAGTACTTACGAACCCGGACGTGTCTCCGAAATATTAATGTTTCACTTACATGTAAGTGACATGCGTTACTTCCGTGTCACCATTCACCGGTACATATTTTGCACAGGCATAGGATAAACCAAAGCTAAAGAACCCATCGGTTGTTTGTTACGTCATGTGATGGTGTGCCAGTGACTTGAGTCTTGACGAGTGACTTGTAAATTTCGTGAGAAATCACGAAATGCACATTCACGAACTCGCGATAGCACGCTGAAAAAAATTGCGCACCGTGTGCCTGGATTCCTCCCAAGAGTTACATTAACTAACAGCCTACTGTGATTGTAACTGTCACAACTCACAGACATTCAGGCGTTTACAAGTTTGTCGGGATGATGACGGGTAAGCGCCATCTCCCGTCTCGCTTTGTCACAATGGAGCCTTTGTTCCGTCACGGCACGAGTTTAGAGCCTGTTGTAGGTGGCAGGTATGTTCGTGTCTCGCCTCGGCTGACACATTGACTGTGGCTGGCCGCTGACCGCAGGTGACCTGCTCAAGATCAGTCCGGGAGACGAAATTCAGTTCGCCACGGATGCAGTGGAGGCCAGGCGACCGCTGATGCTGAAAAACATTCACCGGACTCCCGTCGCATTTAAGGTAAGCCAGTGCCCTGTCTGTTCAAAGTGTGCTATATTATATTTGCTCAAATCGCTTGTTAGGTGTAAAGACGCGACAAGCACGTAAAAGCAAACACTTCTCGAAGAAAGAGTGACATTACCACAAGTCTCCAAAAAATTACAGTCAGTAACAAATGCACAGCTATATGTTAGTCGTTTCCCAGCTAAGAGGCAAGAGCGGAACAATGCAGTAAATGGTCATCTCACTCTGGGCGGCCGCTCGTTAGCTCCGAGAAGCTCGCCCACCCAGACACCTCGCAAGTACAACTAAATGGGCTTAGTCACCCGTTACCCTCCTGACGATCATGTAGTAATGCTACATATATGCCCACCGCTAAAGTAATGTGCGGTTTTACCAATCTCAACAGATATATTTGACTGAAGATTTTTAAATACGGAGTGATCCAGGAGTAGACAGCTAAAGATAACTATAAGCTGCAAGAGCATATAGCAGCTGCAAGAATTAGAACACATGTAAGCTACATTCCAAGTTTCATTGTAGTCTGGCAAATCGTTCCGAAGATACAGATGCAAAGCATAACCACGACTGATACCGCACATTACTTGTGCGGTGGACTGTACATACCTACTGCTGGTGAATTCAACCAGCACGAGAAAAGAAATACCGTGATCTAGAACGTATATTACTCTATTAGATATTGTTCGGCTGGCTAATGGAAGCTAATTAAGGATTTAGGTCGATAATCACAACGCATCACATTACTGGCAAGCTTACTATTTTATGTTATCATGTACCGTCACCATATGCCATCAAGACAGTACCTTCATCGCTCCCGCCTCCCGATCAGCGACTGACGTCATACGGCACGGAATGCCGTATCATTCAGCCGTTTTGTGATACGGCGCGGCCTTATAACTGCGTATCGCTGAGCCGTGTTATGCGGCACAGTCTACCTATGCAGCGTATCGCTAAACTGTGTCACGCGGCACAGTCTACCTCTGCGGCGTATGATGTCATGCGGCACAGTCTACCTATGCAGTGTGTTGTGTAATGCGGCACAGTCTACCTCTGCGGCGTGTGATGTCATGCGGCGCAGTCTACCTGTGCGGCGTATTGTGTAATGCGGCACAGTCTAACTACGTGGTGTATGGTGTAATATGGCACAGTCTACCTATACAGTATGTAGCTCTCGCTATGTAATGCGGCACAGTCTACCTACGTGGCGTACGGTGTATTGCGGCACAGTCTACCTATACAGTATGTAGCTCTCGCTGTGTAATGCGGAACAGTCTACCTACGCGGCGTATGGTGTAATGTGGCACAGTCTACCCATGCAGCGTATCGCTGTGTGATGCGGTAATGTAGCGTCTCGCTTAGCTGTGTTCGCGTTATCACATCCCCTGTAAACTAACTGCATCTCCCGTCAGTTTGGAACTTCTGCCACGAGCCGCACAATCCGACCTTTTACGCACAGCTTGCATACGCGTCTGCAGCCGTATTGGCGTTTACGATTGCATCAATGGCTGTTTTCTGGAACATTTGTGCGATGAGAAGCATGCGTATACATAAGCACAGCTGCCTGTAATCAGACGATCCTTGCTATGAAGTTCAGACAGTAAATGCACTCTCCGGCACGAATCATTCACCCACACTGTTCCGTCCACAGGTAAAGATCACGGCGCCGGAGAAGTTCCGCGTGCGCCCGTCGTGCGGTGTGGTGGCCCCGGGTCGCCGGGTGACGGTCGAGCTGCGCCTGGCGCCCGGCGTGGCCGCCCAGCAGGCCGTCTGCGAGAAGTTCCTGCTGGTCGCCGCACCCGTGCAGCCGCAGCAGGTCGCCGCCGGTGACATGGACACCATCTGGAGGGTGAGACAATCGAGTCGGCGGCGGAGGAACGGTTGGATTTAGTGTGGGGAGCCCTGAGCTGGGGGTGAATTCTGCCGTCCTCACTGCCCTGAAATCGAACCTTAGATCATTTCAGTGTTCGCTAGGCGACTTCGAAACATTTTAAAGCTCAACACTAGCCAATACACTTTCTGAGGACGTTGTTGGTACCGTTTGCCCTGATTTATTTTGTATTTTATTTATTATGCCATAGTTTCATTCAATGTTTAACACATGCCGGACGCCGCTCGTGCCCTGACCGTTCTAACCGCTGCAGTCGCCTGTGTGCTTTCTGTCCCGTGCCCTGACCCCGCGTGTCTCGTCTGCCCGCTGCTCTGTCCCGCTGTCCCGTACTCTGACCTCTCATCTCTTTTGGACGCTGTCCTGCGCCCTGAACCCTCGTCTTGTTTGCTCACCGTTCTGTGCCCTGACTCCTCGTGTGTCGTCTGCCCGCTGCCCTGACCCCTCTTGGCTGTTCTGTCCTCCACCGTCTGCCACTCTGTTCTGACCTGCGGTATCAGTTCTATCTGTTCTGCCCTCTGCTCTCAGACACTGCCGGCCGAGGTGCGGCTGGAGCGCCGGCTGCGCTGCGCGCCGGCCCCCGAGCGGCCTCTGCTCACCCTGGTACGCGGCCTCGGCCAGCAGCTGGAGTCCGTGTCGCAGCGGCTGGCGCGCCAGCAGGCGCTCTCGCAGCAGGTGGCGCGCCACGGGGCGGCCACACACCGCTGGCTGGTGCTCACGCTCTTCATCGTGGCCGTACTGGCGCTCTGCAACGCCTACCTGCTTTACAAGTCGTCCGGCGTGTGCGACCTGACACAGGCGAGTCGCCGCCGCCAGGCGCCGCGGCTGGCGCACGGATCCGTGCGACCATAGTCCAGCTGCTGAATTAATGTTTTGTAAATGCGAGTGCGATAAATACTGGACCGAAGAATTCTGGCTTGTTTGTCACATGATTTGCCCTTCCATCTCATCCACATGTATTATTTGAACACCTTGTCTACATAGGTACTGCCAAGCCCACTGACCTTTTTTCGCACTCCAGTGTTCAACAGTTCATCATTTTCTTCTCATCATTTAATAGCACAGTGCAACTGCTACGTTTTAACTGTTATGCGATGTTCTGTTTTACAGGCGGATATAATCGGGACCCCGTTCACGGTCCCGGGACTGTCCAGCTACCAAAGGTGATCTCCCGGATCAGAAACGTCATGTGATAGCGACTCGTGATCCAAAGTCGCGTGTCGGTGGGACTGGGTCTAGCGCGAGCCAGCGGTTGCAGCTCAAAAAAACCCAGATGCACAATGAATGCGGAGAAATGCGGTGGACTCCAGTCCTTTCCGGAGGCGTTATCTGACCCATCTGTCGTCCTTTCGGTTCGCGTCATCGTAAGCGATGATTTGACAGTGTATTGATGCCTGCCTAATGTCAAACGTCCTACATTTTTCTATGCGTTTTCTTTGGGTGACAGGGCCCTCAGTTACACGATGCAAAGACACTGGTTCACCATATTGTTTTGGATCGGTTAAAACTTGCAGATCACATGCTTAGTTAGAAGGCAAGGCTGTTTGTGACTGTAGAGATGGCTCGCTAAGGGAAGAAATTGTTATTTTTCTACAAGGCTGAATGTAGCTTGGTGAGGCTGGAGGCATTGCCAGCAGAGGTTTACTGCTGGCAACGCAATATTCCTGCTTGGAGCTTAACCGTTGCCATGGACACGAGCAGGACAAAACGTATCGGGAATGTTGCTCTAGACAGCCAACGTTGTCGGCGTGATTCGCGCTACTTTGGCTTCGGGAAACGGCATTGGGCTGGCGGAGCTCGGCACTGGCTCTGTTATGGTATGGAATTAGGGTGTGCTTCAGCCACGTAGCGTGTGGGAAGGGTTTCGGTGCGAAGAGTGTGGGTGATTCCGCTCGTACGAGGTATGTAGTTACATATTTGATTATTTCGAGCAATTATCAACGCTGAATAAGCCGTACTGTGTGAGATTCGCATACGCCAAGGCACAGACTTCTTCATATATACATATATATCGAAAAGTCTGTGGCCAAGGACATCATGTGGTTGCGATCGAGCCGACACCTGCGAGCCCGCTCGGTGGTGTTTCATGTTCGGTCGGCCTAGGGACCACTGTAACGTGTGTTCGATGTCTGTCCTGTATATGCACATGGCGAGTCAGCGACATTTTGTCGTAAAACGGCCGCTCAAGTATGCACGACGTGACAGCCGAACGTGGCGTGCGTATTGCATATGCTAAATATTGTGTACTGCGTAAAATTGTCTGAGAAGGATCAAATAAACATGTTTGTATATTGATGCAAGCACAAGTGTAAGTGCCATTTACTGCTAACAGTTGACAATAAACCGGCACGAATGTCTCGGATTTCATTCGTATCGGCACAGATAAGCTGCTTCATTGAATAAAGATTTATGATTACCTAGAGCCGCCGTATGTGTCTGCGTCAGTGGCGGTATGAATATGGACGCTCGGTGCGCTGCAGGCGCGGTTGTAATGTTGTTACGTAGTTACCAGCTTCGCGCTCACATATTGCCACAGTACTCTTAGTGTATCCATAACAATTAGGATAGCAGATAACGATAATAAATCATTATTCAGATGCGCTTACCCGTACCTACCTACTGGGACAAATTGGAAATAATGCACAAGGCTTTCGATGTGAAAATATATTGGACACTGTTCAGCTGCTCTCAGATATATGTATAGAGGGTATTCTCATATCGAAAGCTTGATGCGTGTAATTTGACACAAATGCAGTTTTTTCAACATTGGTACCTGACAAGTACAACTATAGGTATTTGACTTTTTCTTCTAATATTTGGTCCCGTTTTCAGAATCCAGTAATGCTTTTCCTAATATATTTTCAGCGAGTGATCGCTACCGCTGACTGACCTAAATCTGTTTATGGACCTGCTTCATCTGCGGATATACCAGTGTCGTCAGGTTGCGTCTCATTTTTCTCAAAGACATATAGCTATAGGCGGGGTGAGCCAGGATCTGATCTGTCCTGGCTGTCCGTTCTCGCCCAAATATAGCCTCTGACTGTCCGGCTTCGCTCAGCTTCTTGCGTAAGAAGCTAAAGGACGCTCAGATAAGCCTCCCCAGCCAAAAATGGCGCTAATGGTTCGTGGGCATCACGAGCCGTCAACGTATCATCAAAGAACTCTTTTCATTAGCCCGCACCCCACTGGGGTCTGCGTATAACGCACCCTACTGGGGAGAGGGGGGAGTGGGCAATTCATAGCCCCCCTCCTAACTCTGAAGCTACTGGGCCGATCGTCAAAATTCAAACGCTGTCTGATAGTTCCGGAAAAACTGTCGAACGAAACCAAATGTCATTGACCTCAAGGTCACCGATGACTTCACAGGTCAGGTCAAAGTAAAAATTATCAATGTTTGGCTTGTTCACATTTTGGGCTCTGGCCACCGTCTTAAAGGGACCCTCCCACCTTCAAAAAAGTTAATGAATTGGCATGAAAGTGATGTCGCTCGGTTCAGAAAGAGCAAAAACGAATATCTACCAAATTTCATCGAAAAATGTTCACCGGTTTTCAAGATATTAGACTTTTACTTTTGTTTACTTTTTGGGATCTCCGCTGTTCCAAGCGACTTTCTTTGAAAGTGCGGCATTTGTTGCGCGCAAAACAGCATATACCACCGCGTGCTACAAAACGTTTTAGTCAAACATTAAACGGACGTTCGAAAGCCGGATGACGTCATCAGATTCCCGTAATGGTTAAGAGATAGGGACCACGCTGGTCCCACCCTGCAAGTAAAGGGAAGAAATTTCTTGAACACCATAAAGCTGCGGGGGTTGAGACCAGGATAAATAGTGGTTTCTGAGCCTGGCCGCAAACTTGGCTATCTCAACTCAAAACTAATGTTAAGGTGGGAGGGTCCCTTACAAGTCAGATCAGGTTCATTTTTTTATTTACACACTCGTGAACAGATACTTAAGATACCCTGAAGGTACCATACTTGTACTTTGATTTTCAGGTCAGGGTCAGGTCATCACAGGTCACGGAAATCTTACATCATGCATTGGTCACGTGACGGAACTTTTATGGTCCATTTAGGCCATATATTTCGAATTCGATGTCGTCGTCTATGTCGTTTGAGGTCATTTTGAGTTGAATTTAGCTTGGGTCAGGCCACTTCAGGTAAAAAAGGTCAAATTTTAAAGTTGAATAAAAAACGTGTCTGTCGTACCCCCCCCCCCCCCATCGGGTTCAAAGGGATCCTCGGGTCCGAGAGGCCCAGTGGCGCCATTTGACCGCTGAGGGTTAACAATGGCCATATTTCGACTCAGAAGGGCCCCATGGGGCTCGCTAGAGCACCTCATGGGCCCTAAATAACCACACTAAGATCTCCATAAGGGCCCCACGCCGTCTTATGAGGGCCTCTTGCAGCTTTTAAGGGCCCCTCGGACCTCGGTGGTCTCCAAAGGCCCGTTACTGGCCTCTGATAGTTCTTACTCAACACCTGTACATCTAAAGGCCACCCACTGGTGACATTTGAGGGCCCCACACCAGTGACTCTGAGGGCCCAACCGGCGTCTGACAGTACCATGCCGGTCTCCAAAGGACCCCACAGGACTTCATCTGCCGGCCTAAGGGCCCCTTGCCGGTCACTGAGAACCCCCTGCCGGCTTGTAGAGGGTTCGCGTCAGCAGCTCTAAAGGCGCCACACCCGTCTGTAACGGCTCCACACCAGCGTCTATGAGGGCCCACAGCAACGCCTGTAAAGGCCCTCACCGCCGCATCTGAGAGAATTACACTAGCACTTCTGAGCGCCCACACCGGCACCTGCATGACGGCCCCACACCAGTGCCTCTAAAGGCACCTTACCGGCGGCTCTGAGGGCCCTACGCCGGTGATTCTAAGGGTGCTACCGATTACCGAAGGCACCACACAAGCCCTTAGTGAGCTTTAATCTCATACCGGCCTTCCGAGGGCGCCACGTCAGTGCACTCATTGACCCACACCCCTCCCTCACACCCGGAGCGGGTAAACTGTGTTATACCTATAGCAACAAGAACAACACATGCACAGCACACCGCTCTAAATTGATCACCACCAAATCGAGCACATTTAAAAACCGGGAAGCCGAACGGCAACTGTGTGCGAAAGATATATGCGTACCTTGTAAATGTAACGCCAGTTGGTTGTAAGAGCGGAGCGCCAACGCGTGTGTCGCCAGACAGACCAGGCAGAAATGGGACACAACGTTATCGCGGGCGCGCGTCCCCTAGCCTAAGTCACGTGACCGCGACGGACGTCTTGGCTGCGCAGCGGCCGCGCGCTGGTTCATTGCCCCTAGAGGGCCAAACAGAGAAGTCATGGTACCACAAAATTTTTCGCTCGTATACGATTGGAAAAAGCTCCTAGCTGCGCTAAACGCCGATTTCTCAAAGTTGACTCAGAATGGTCCAGTGTAAAATCTGGCCTGCCAAACTTATGGCCAAGGTCAGGGCCCAAACCATAGCGGAATGACAATATCACTGCAGATGTTATCAAATCGATACCGTATCAGCAGAAACCATTCAGATGGTAAGGCAAATGTCGTGTGTTGATGTTTAGATGTATAAAGGAAACAAGAAGGAAAGAAGTCCGGAAAAGGGAGGACAGATCCTTTCTCGCTGCCTCAATGTTGAGGGAGCGCCGCCCCCTCGGCTCTCACGTTGGGGGGGGGGGGGCAAGCGCCCCCGCTGCCCCCCCTGTTCCCGGGTTTATGTCTCAAGTTGTCTCAATATCTATGGGTAAAGGTCGAAGCGGTCGCCTCCGAAATAGTGCAGGATGGCATGTCTCAGCTCTGGACTGCTGCAGAACAGCCAGGAGTCGACGAGGTGGAACGAACCGCGCAGCACCATCATAACAAACCACAGGATCTGAGGATCATCGGAGTCCATGGTGGGGGCCAGCGCCGTGCTGCCCTCAGCCGTGGACTCGGCAAGAGGTCCGTCCTCTAGGGAGGCCTTGATATCCAGTACGGCCTTCAGCAGGGCAGTGATGCAGAACGGGATCAGGCAGACGCCGTACAGCACCATCACACGCAGCAGGTAGTAGAACGTGCGCACGTGCTTTCGCAGCCGTGCACGTTCGGCCAGCTCGTGCGGCAGCGCCGCCACGTTCGGGCGCAGCGTGCGGCGCGCCACGAGCAGCACGTCGATACAGAGGATGACGGTGGAGAAGCTGACCAGCAGGTTGACGCCGTTGTTGATCACCGTGCCGACGTCTCCGAACACCAGCTGCGAGGAGGAGGCGCACCGAGGGATCTCGGCCGGGAAGGGCGCGCCGGCCAGGTGACGCCACGTGACCACGTACCCGATGAGCAGCGCGATGAAGCCCAGCGTCTGCAGCAGCTGGCGGCCCACCGTGGACGAGGTGACCAGAAGCGGGTACAGCAGAGGGTTGTGGACGGCCGTGCGCCGGTCCAGCGCCAGCCAGAACATGGTGACGTTCGAGGCGGTCGAGCAGGCCGTGTTGACGACCATTAGCAGGGCGCACAGGACGCCCGAGCTGGTGGCCGACGGTTAGAAGGTGTTCAGCCACGAGTACACGACCATGATGAGCCCCACCACGCAGTCGGCGATGCTCATCACGCAGAGGTGGTAGTTGGTGGCCGAGCGGAGGTGCCGGTAGCGAGACACCACCACCGGCAGCACCCCGGACGTGGCCACGATCAGCAGACCGAGCAGGGTGCCGATTATCATCTTGGCAGCCATCGGGACGAGCTTCCAGTGGACGACGAGCAGTCGCTAATGACTATCCTGTTTGCTCGGGTGTCTTACCAATATTCTTTTTTTTAGCAATCCTTCTGTATGCGTGATAGTTGGAGTGGTCAGATTATCCGTATCAGGGGCATTCCACGTCAAGTGGGACAAAAAATGACGATTTTGAACCTCACCTCCTCCGATTTTTGCGAAACTTTGTGAAACTACTCATCTATATGTGAAAAGAAAGGAGACATTTTTTTGCCAAGATATGACGTCACGTTTCCGAGATACACGTCATCAAACATTGACTTCGGCAAGGCACATTATCATCTTTAAAGCGTCATAACTTTTAAAGTTTTAGACATATCACCACGCGACAAAGTTTGAAATGGAGGGAATAGATCAGGCTTTAAAGGGACACTCCCACCTTAACATTAGTTTTGAGTTGAAATAGCCAAATTGGTGGCCATGGCCTGCAAATACCGGTTTGGGCACTCACAACATCGACAAATGCTTTAATTCGGAGATATGGAATTTCAAACTTGCAGTTTTCGGATTCTAAGGGGCTAGTGCATTGGTATGCCCCCTTAGAATTTGTGACGTCAGCGGAGATCTAACGATTTTTAAATCTTTTACTAAAACGTTTGGTAGCACGCGGTGGTATATGCTGCTTTGCGCGCAACAAATGCCGCACTTTCAAATAAAGTCGCTAGGAACAGCGGAGATCCCAAAAAGTAAACAAAAGTAAAAGTCTAATATCTTAAAAACCGGTGAATATTTTTCGATGAAATTTGGTAGATATTCGTTTTCGCTCTTTCTGAACCGAGCGACATCACTTTCGTGCCAATTCATTAACTTTTTTGAAGGTGGGAGGGTCCCTTTAAGTTGAGGATCACAATATGGACGTCATTAACTAATTAGTGATCATAATTAAAATTCAAAAAATAAAGTTTGAATTTCTGAAAAATGGGTACCCTTCGATTTTGCTGATTTTTGCATATTTTATTCTTCCATACATTAGCTACTTCATATGAAAATTTCAGAATGGGCCGACGTCTACGTAACTGTCTTTTGGACTTCGTAATGTCTGGCACTCGCGCGTTTCGTTTTAGCAACCAAGGAGAGGCGCTACGCGGAGATGGTTCTTTCTACCTCAATCAAACCAAAGCAAACCTAACCTGACCTGACCTGACCTAATCTAACACGCGTAAACTTATGTATAGCCCTCACGGCAGTTGCTGGCTGGCCAAATGCTACTTAGATACGAACACTATAAAACAAAAATGAACGCGTGCGGTGTTAAAACACTTGAGGCTGACCAGCCACGAGCCAGCGACCTTTAGATTACGAGGTGGGTTAGGTACACTCGGCACACTAACTACTAAGCCACGAAGATAGCTGGTCATCGCTGAACTGTAAGCCAGTTTTCTTTTTTAATGATGCAATTGAGCATTCTCCCGGCAGCGCCTCTCTTTGGTTGCAAAAAGGAAATACGCCTGACTCTCCCAGCGCTAGGGGAGAAAGGCCCGGTTTAGTCAAAAAAGGGTATTAAAAAACGGAATTTGAATTGTAGGTGGGGCGGTGGGGAACTTTATCGTGTGCCAATTTCATGGCCCTAGATCAATATCTTCAAGATCAAATGAGGTTAAACGTGATTAAATTTGCTATAGGTAGTGAATATTTTGCGTTTATACGCCCATAGCGCTAAGAGTTAATGGCCGATTCCCCTATTTCTTCCTTTATACATTTGTAGTGTTATGAGAATCTCTAGCTAATGTGACCATAAATTTGGCAGTTATTGGCCTGCTAAGAGTAAGATGTCGCCGGCAGAGGCGGGGATCGGCCGAAGCGGGAAACGTTTCATTCACAGATTGTGTTTGCGCCCTAATAATTCAATTTTTATCTGTTGATTTTCTCATGTAGGTATTTGACCATTAGATTGCCTGTACATTTTTAAGCCTTCACACAAAATTTGACACGAATCGATCATAATCAGCGGTAAGAAGCGCGGTGCAAAGATGAACCGTCCCGCGCCGGCACACGGCACAGTCTACCATTCAGGCGTTAACCCGCGCCCTGCTGGGGGTCCTGGATTTCCACGCCCTGCTGGGGGGGGGGGGGTGTTCAAACACCCCCCCTTCTAACTCGGCTCCTGGGCCACGTAGCGATACGCGGAAGGCGGCGTTCGAAAGAGCGTAAAAAATAATGACGAAATCACTTCGGTCAATTTTTTGGTCAGGTCAAAGGTCAGGTCACCAGAGGTCACTGAAGGCAAAATTTCGCCGATTTCCAGGTCGAATGTCGACAATTTCCAAGAAGCCAGCGCATAACTCGGGAACCAATAGAGCTACAGCGCTGCGGAAAAGCGCATTCGATAGCCCTATTAACGCTCTTTCTGAGTAATTCTCTCAGAATTGACCTAGCGCCAACGGTTTTGCCTGCAGGGGGTAAAAACTGCAAAAATAGCCGATTTTTTCGGAAACAGTTTTTCTGCAATAACTTTTGACCCAAACCTTGTACGAGCTTACTTTTACCGGCATCGTGTTCCTCTCGTCAAGACGCATCGAATGAACTATAACTTGACCTTGAAAGGTCAACTTGAAAATTTGACCTCAGGTCAAGGTCATGACCTGACCGGAAAGGGTCATGTTGCATATCAGTCGATCCGTATCGTCCAGCTGAACACATCTAAGGCGTTTTCATCGCTCTAGCATGCCTCTATCAAAAGTTATTTGCGAAAAACTGTTAGATACCATTCGTGACCTAAGATGACCTCAGGGGCATAACCAGGGGTCACGGACACCATTTTCATGTTCAGTGTGTCTAAACCACTTGTAATTCAGTGTTTGGGAGTGTTTATAATGCTTTTCGTCCAAAAGAGGCGCATTTCAATTTTCTCCCATTGACTTATAATGGGGAGGTCGCAAAATTGACCTGACCTTAGGTCATCGATATCAAAATTCTGAGATATACATTTTGTACATGCTATTGTTCTTAGTAATCGCTGAAAGTTTCAAAGCGATCGGTCACTCGGTGTAGCTATGGCAGACATTGAAACTTTTTATGAGGTGAGGTCACTTCAAGTGACCTGGTGACCTGACCTTGAATGACCTTGGTCTGAAATTTTCACAACATGTGTAGAATTGATGTATGATAAGGTGTACCAAAAACGGCGGCGCTCCGCGCCGCCGTTTTTGAGATATCCGCGAAAAACCACAGGGGGGGTGTTCAAACACCCCCCCCAGCAGGGCGCGGGTTAAAGGGACAGTATCATCGAAAAAAAAATCCATGTATGGAGCTGATTTTTTCTTTACTAGCATTTCTTATTTTTCTGAATCAGAAAAACATAGTTTGAGGACCGAACTCGGTGAAAAATATTGCAACCACATTTCATTTTCATGATTCATTTTCATGAGCGAACCACCACTATACAAGCATGGCCGCCAGTTTGGAAGCATGCAAAATTACTACAGAACTGGCGCAGCTAATACATTATTGGCGCTACGCTTACGCGGTCGTTCTTCTGATTGAGTTGTCCTTAGGGAGAGGTAGCCTTAGGTATTGCCTATAAAAATATAACGTGACAATTGGAGGGAGTGACAATTGGACGTGACAATTGACAATGGGAGAAAATATCACGTGACAATCACGTGATAAACGTCATACATTGGAGGGAGATTGTGATTCAAGCTGGAGGAATTCCTTTGTTGAGCCGCTAGAATCCGAAGGAAACAGCGGAAATTGCCTACGACTATTTAATGAATTTAACGGTGATGAATAAGTGCGAAAAACGTTTTGGCTTTATAAAATTTGATGAAATGACCAGGGTAAAAGTTTTATTACTGGCGGTCAATTCAAAACGGCGCAAACATTTAAACAGTGAAGATAGTGAAGCACGATTCAAAGTGTGGTACACCTTTCGTACTTTGAGCGGCGATAGCGGGATAACGGTGTGGAGTTTCGAGGATCGGTGTTCAGTTTCCGCACCAGAAAGGTGGGGCCTATACAATGTCAAATTTCATCAAAATGGTGATACTGTCCCTTTAACGGCCGGCGCCGGCCGCCGAGCCGCTCCGGCAGGAATGTTTAACTTTACACCGCCATTACTAGAAAAGTTGTGAACCGATTTACCTATTTCTTGCACGGGAGGATTTGCAATTCGATTCTGGACAGATACTGAAAGTTTGACGTTAATATGATAATTATGGCGTGAGTTATTGGCGATAAACAGGCGGGGTTAGCGAAATCGGCCCCTTCCACCGCCCGTGCTACGTTGCACTTCTTGTTGCTATATCATCCAAAGTTATCTTTGGCCCACTCTAATTTTCTCAGCACCTGTGCCTTACGTGTAGTGGAAAACAATATCTAAATTTGAGCAAAATCGAAGGGTACCCATTTTTCACAAATTACATTTTAAGAAATTAATTCAAAATAAAATAAATTCAAAATCATCAAAAAATGTAAAAATTGTCAAATTTTACTAGAATAACTCCTTATGTACACGTTTCAGTTTGTTTGAAATTAATAGCTTCAAAAATGTTGAAGCTATAGATCTTTCAAGATTGCAGTACACGTCCAATTCTGCTAAAAAAAGCAGAAGTTTAGCAGCTTGTATCTCTGTAGCCCGAGGGCATATGACAAAATCCTTTCACCCTCAGAGGTTTCACCCAAAAGGCAATCAGTATACCTAGTTTGAACAAAATCGCAGAGGTGACCGATTTTGGCTGTCCCGGTTGACATGGAATGCCCCATCAGGGGGACTATGAGTGCTGAGTGAAGATCCAAATTATATGTGGCCTTACTTTTTTGGCGATTGACAGCAACAGCATGAGAGCGATCAGCAACTCTTCATTGCCTGCGAAAAAAGATAAATTAAAACGGAGCCTCCATGGGTATATCAAACAAGAGATATAAAAATCAACTCATTTAGCTCGAACGTTTCAATGGTAAAGGGACCCTCCCACCTTCAAAAAAGTTAACCCGCCCCCCCCCCCCTCCCCCCCGCTGGG